GAGTTTGTGTATGATTTAAATGGGATAATGGGTATAAAATAGGTGTAGAAGCCACTTGTGAATGCTCAAACTCTTGACAAGTATGAGGGTTTTGTTTGCTATTATCATATAATGAGTTCAGGTTCTGATGTGCATTTTCAGTAATGAGAACTTCTCAGTGGAAATGTGTGGATGGTTGGAAATGTGGGACGGCATTCTGCTGAGAAATTAGTGCCAGAACTAACATTTGGGCATCACCTGCCTATCTCAGGGAGGGGAGCGGCATGGGGGTGGCATGGGCAAACACTCAGCCAGTGGAGAAATCCAAACGGTTAGGGGCAGAGGCAGACCAGGGTGGAGCCGGGAAGAAAGTGCCGGGTTCCCCGAGTTGCAGCTTGCCATTACCCCTGAGACATGAAAGAGAGGATGGCCGGTCTGGGATGAGCGGATGTCTGTGATCTGTACACGGGAGTTTCCTTAGAACGTCAAGCAGGCAAAACAGTATTGTCAGAATTTACTAGAGAATCATGAGTAAGGAATGGTAGGCAACAGGATAGCCTGTTCATTCTAAATGATTGGCTTTGGAAGAAAGAATTGGGACAGAGTCTTGCGTTGAAATTTCATGGTTTCTTATTTTGAAATAGAAATTCTGTTGTGGTTCTGCTGTTGGAAGTGTCAGGGGAGCCCCTCTTGTCCCTGCCTCTGGTGTGTTGCATTTTGCAAGTAGGAGCCGTGCTACACATGATAGGTAGATGGGAACCCTCTCCATGAAGGCAGGAAGGAAGTGCCTGGCAAGTCAGAGAGACTCCAAAGCCTCAAGAGCTCATCCTCTTTTCTGTGACTCAGCCTGAGCACCTGCAGAAGCAGCCCACCCGAGCCAGCAGAGCTCATTTCAGAGACCTGATTCCTTCACTGCCATCTGTCCCTTTACGTGCAGCACCAGCTAGATGATGCCCAGTCTGGTCCCCAACCCAAGCATGTCCACTGATCACCGTGTGGCACTAAACTTGGGGTGAGGTGTGACTCTGGGCCCCTCCCAGCTCAGGACTGCTTTGGGGGCTGACTGATCCAGGGGTCCCTTAGTGGATGGGATGCAGCCTTCTCTGGCACTCTCTCCCACAGAGCCCAGCTGTGTTTCCAGCACGAGCTAAATGCCGCTCAGTGCAGGGCTTCCTGGCTCCCAAGTGTGGGACACATCTTCTGCTCTCGACAGCAGATCTGTGGGAGGCTGATATGGCCTTAATCGCTCAGCAGTGCTGCTGAGCTGTGCTGAGGAGGGGCTTCCTGGCCTGGGAAAGAGGCCACCACCTCGGGGTGGTGGCGGCAGCAGGAATATTCTCAACAGCTACCCCGGCAGGAAGATTACAGAATCAAGTTGTGCACTTGCTTGCGTAGACCTCAGGCTGCTTCACTTACTTCCCAGCCCCAAGAGCTTCTTAATATGCTTGACCTCAGAAGGCACCAGAAAAATAAAAGCAGGAAAAGTCGAGCCCAGCTACCCGGAACTGCCGACTCCATCGGTTTCTTGCAGCCTGGGATGAAAATGGCCCTGCCTTTGGTTGCTATTCAGCATATTCTGGAGCCTGGTGCTTCAGTCCTTGTGCCTGTGGTCCCTCTTGTTCTCCCTGCACCCCATCCTGACTTTCTCATCCACAGCCCTGAGCCCAGGTGAGGATGGTCCTTCTGGGATGTCAGTGACTGGGGGTGTCTTGAGTAGGTGAATCCTCAACCAGCCATCCCCACCAGTTCCCTGGGGACCACCAGCACAGAAGACTTTCTGAGAAAAATCACTCTTACACAGGTGACGGCTTTGGGCCTGAGCCCCTGCTGGGTCACCCATCTTGGGGAGCTGGCCTCATCGCGATGGGCCTCAGGGACTCCTGCGTATCCATGAATCTGGCCCCTGGGTATTCCTCCCAAAATCCCACCATGGTTTCTGCATGACCTTCCTGGGGGACAAAGATGCCTTGTTCCAAATGAAGGAAGGTCCCTGGCAGGTTAGTATGGCAGCTACAAGGACTACCTAAAGGTACAGGAGGAGGAAGCAGGGCACAGCTCAGCGGTGTCAGAGACAGAGCCCCAAACAGGAAGACACTTACTGGAGAGAGAACTTAACTGTGTGTCTGACCCATGCTCTGCCCCTCCATGAGGGTGTGGAGGGGGAGGAGAAAGCCTCCGTCCCTCCCTACAAATTGGAAGGTATAGCCAAGATCCTGCACCCAAAGCCACATTTCCTTATGGGATTCTAAGGGTGGTGGCTATTCCCAAGGCATAGGTAGGGCATTCAGAGACTTCCTTTTTCTCCATATAATGTTGTCTGGATGGAACCCAGTGTTGTGAACGTGTGCCAACAAGCTGTAACTTTGGGGGACTTTGTTTCCTTAACTTGGTGAGTTGGGTGGGGAGGAGGAAACGGGTGAGCCCATTTGGGGGAGGTGCGGTGGCATTGGTAGATGAGCGGCTAATCAAAGACTTTGCAGCGCCATATGCAAAGATAGATGGGGTCAAAGTAGTATTAATTACTTTAATGAGCCTAAAAAGAGTTTCCTCATGACCAGTTGTGATGACGGTATCATACCTAAATCTAATTGTTTGGAAATGATGCTCTGGTGACCTCAGAACCAAAGTGTGTCCAAGTCATGTGCTTTATTTTGTTATTATTTAAATATCTTTATTTGTTATTTGTATGCGCTTTCTTTTATGAGTGTTTCCAGTCAGCTGTGCGAGGCAATGGTAGATAGGAAGTAATGGGACTTGCTCCCCAGCCCCGGGGCCACATGATGGGACTCCTGCGACCATCCAGGCATTCAGCCCCGAAGTGATTTCCAGGTGTCAGGACCGGACTTGGATGTCTGCAGTTTTGAGAAAGTGCTTGCAGTCCCTTAAAGGTTATGACGTTAAATTCCCCGAATACAGGGTGCTCTCCGTTATAGGAAACTGCATTCTTGTGTAAGCATTATACGTATAATTTGAGCTCGCTGCCTTGCGGTGTGAGGTTTTGCCAGCATTCCTGGATGTCCTCCTGTTAATGGTGACAGACGTGTCCCCCACTCTGCACTGTAGGCAGTGGAGACCATCAGTGGCCGTTTCTAGAATGCCTGCATTTTCTGGTTTTCTGAGCACCAGTTATGATTTCCTTAACTTTTGCTTTCTCAGCCTTTTCAGTGATTTTATAAGCTTCTAACTGGCTCTGTCTAATCCCTTTTGCTTCCAGTACCTGGAGTGGTCTCTGATGCAGACCCTTGGTTTCTCTCTTCTTCTGTCCCCTCCTGGTGCCCAGCCTGCATGATTTCCAGGAGGGCAATGGGCAGATGCTGCCATGTCAGGAAGCCTCTCCTACACGGGTCTCGTTGGCTCCATTCCCGGCACATCAGTGAGGTGCTCGGGCCCCACTGCTTCGTCCTGTGCTGTTCTGCAAACTCAGAACGGGCAGGCCCGTCCATACGCGTTGGATTTCTGATAAGCTTCTGCAGCGATGAGGACCCTTGAAGTGGTCTGACGGGGACTTTATTTATTCATTTAGCTGCTTTCTGGCTACTCACCGTCCAGAAAACACACATGTAATCATCCAGGACGTTTGTATGATCCGCGCTCATGGAGTGGTGTCCTCGAGACGATGAGCTGTGGCAGCACAGAGCAGAGAAGGACTCCGTCTCCCCGGAAGGACAGTGGGAGGCGTACTGGTTAGGATATGGACTAAGCTGCGGTAGCAAAGATACCAAAACTTGTAGTGGTTCCACCAAGATAGAAGCTTCTTTTCTCTCTGTACAAGCCACAGGTGGGCCAAGTTGGGGGCATTCTGCAATATGAGGTCACATGGAGAGCCAGGCTCTGTCTTCTTGCTCCTCTGTGCCTTACAGGGTCGTCCTTGTCGTTGTTACATCCATGTCCCAGTCCCGGGGTAGGGGTGGGGTGGGGGAGGAGCGAGGGATTGTCCGTATCCTTTTTGAAGGTCATGACCTGTATGTGGCCCATGTAACTTCCATTCACCTTCCATTTGTGATGTGGTTCCATCTGGCTGTGGGGCCGATGGGGGAGTACAGTCACTGGCCGAGCGGCCATGTGTCGCTGGAAGTCAGGGGGTTGTTACCAAATGGATGACGTGGGGCAAGATTCAAGGCCAGGGGGCTTCACTGGGAGGGGACACAAGACCTGCTCCTGTCTTATGCAAGGCCGGCTCGGTGGAGGGCCCGTGGCCGGTGCTGGTGGTGGAGGCCGAGGTTGGTGGCCGAGGTGGTGCAGGGGCATCAGCCTGTGTAAGAGCCACAGAGCTTGTCTGTCCCATCCTTTTTACAAATGACAAGACAGTTCCAGAGACTTGAAGTGACTTGCCCGGGTCCCCCTGCCAGTGAGCTGCTGAAGAGAAGCTGAGATCCTACTCTGTGCACGTCTGGACCTATGGTCTTCGCAGCATGCACCTTAGCATTTTTCTTGGGTGGGACAGTTTGAGAAGTGGGGGCGGGGGCTCTCCATGAGAGCTGAGGGGAGCAAGAGCACATGAGAACTGCGAACAGCCCCTCCGCCTTCGTTCTGGAAAGCAACGTTTCTGGTTTTGTTTTGGTTTTTGGTTTTTAACCTGGCCAGTCTCCCCACTGTAGGCTCCTCCCAGCCATGGCTGCTTAGCCCGCGAGCTGTCCTTCCCTCTCCCCCGCCAGAGATGGCGGCAATGAAATACCACCTTGGCTGAATTGGGGCATTTGTCATTTTTACATCTCTACGTCCTAGTGTCTTCTGCTCCCAGTGACAAATAAATCCCTGGGCTGATGGCTGGCCCCGGCCATTCATTAAGCAAAGAAAGCCCCAGTGTGTGAGTCGGAGACTCGTAAATAATCCCTGGTGCTTTATCCCAGTCGCCTGCTGCCTCCCTGGCTTTGCATATTTATAATACAGGAGCAGTATTTCTGACACAGACTATTATGTGTGCGAGATACTGGGGAGAAGGACAGGCAGCCGCCGGCTCTAACCTGGATGGAGCTGGCCTGTTCACAGTCTGGGTGCAGGCAGTGGCCCTGAAGCTCTGAACCTGTCGTGTTCGGCCCAGAGCTGGTCCCAGATGGACTGGGTTCCAGTCTGGCTCGGAGTCGAGGTGAGGAGCGGGGAGGTCTGGGGCAGATGGCGGGTTCAGCCTGTTCTGTCGTGGGGGTAGAGGACAGTCATCTTGGACGAGGACAGTGGCTGTACAATGGTGGAGGCCTCCCTCGGCAAGACAGGTGGTCAGGAAAGGACACTTAGGAATGTGTCCCCCTCGGAGAGGCCAGGCACCCTCACGCCTGTCTCTCTGGGCAGCCTCCTGTGTGAGGGAGTCAGGCTTCTGGCCCTGAGGAGCTGAAGGAAGATGAGGAAAATATTCACACTAGCAACAAGGAAGATGGTGAGGATCAGTAACAGGAACATTTAACATTAAAGGAGGGGTTCATATGAATTATGCACCTGAATACATATGCACATGAGTAGTGGACTCAGCAAGCCTCCCTCACCTGAGGAAGATGCCACTGACGCAGCCACCTTGCCCCTAGCGCGCGCACACACACACACACACGCACACACACACGCACGCATGCGTGCATGGACGCGCGCTCAAACACACACCGTGGCTCTCTTTAAAGCATGTCATATCCCGCAGGCAGCACTTGTTGCCTAAAGCCTTCCAGAGTTGAAGATTATTGTGTACAGAGGTGTATAGTCTCCATGGGTTCGTAATGGTGGATGTGAATTTTGTTTCGACTTCCATTTAACCGTGTAGGGAGGGCGCATGAGATTGTGGTGATAAATGGAAACACACAGATAATGCGCATCGAATACTATATCCCAGTCCCAAAAGGGATGCTTGGGAATACTCTTAACCCACTGGAATCTATGTACCAGCTTTCTTCCTAAATTTGCTAAGAGTTGGCCAATCTCACCCATCACCCCATTTGTCTGGGATCTGTGTGTACTGTGCTAGGACCCCCAAGGTTGAAGATCCAATCTCTTACTGGGCCCCATGACTTCTCAGAGTAAAAAAATACTGAAAGCAGAGCCTGTCTTTAAGCCCCAGGGAGAGTACATGGAGGTCCGGTTTGCCATTGGGCCCAGGGGTTGTCAGGTGGATCAAGGTGCTTTTTTTAAAATATGGATTATGGCGCATCAGTGAATTGTACATTTTAAGGTGTGGGACAGAACGAGAAGGCATTACAAGCAGAAAGGGAGAGTGTCATTGATAAAAGGTTAGTCTCTCTTGTACTCGTCGGTGTATGTGCTGTGTGGATGTCCTGATCACGGTGAGAAATGCATTTCTCACCTTAGGTTGCACTCGAAAAAGTGGGCAGCATGGGGAAGACTGGAGAGGAAAGGGTTCTAGACTCAGAGCTGAGGGTCCTGGGTTCGATTCTTAGCTGTGGCCTTAAGTCCTTGTGCACATATTCGCAAACCCCGCCTCGGGCCCTACCCCTTTCTTTGTACATAAGCATGGCGGAAATGACCAGCCATGATGGCATGGTGGGATGCTAGAGCTGGAAGACACCTTGGAACTTTGCCAAGTCTTCGTGGGAACTCAAGGCTGGAGATCAGGAAGGACTGGTCCACAGTCACCTGGCAGGTTAGTGACAGAGGCAGGACTGGAGCCCATTGTGATTCTTGGGGCAGGCCCCCTTCTGATAAGTGATAGGCACAGAAGCCTTGGGAATCTCCTTAGAAGCAAACGTCTTCATGTGGCAGCCAAGGTTAGAGCTGGTGTCACCCTGTTCTAGGTCCCACTCATCTCTGAGCCAGGGCGGGATAGACCCTTTAGCCATCCCAGGCCACACTCCAGCGTCTGGGGAGGAAGACAAGATACTCTGCACCCAATTAAAAGCAACAGGAGGGTGTCAGGGAGACAGAACATAGCTCTCCGTCTTGGAAGCCAGCCAAGGCATCCTCATGCCAAGATTAAGAAGGATAATAACAACAGCCGTAATAGTGGGAAGAAAAACACTTCTACAAGGCCTCAGGGACCTGGCAAAGTAATAGGAGAAGGGAAATCAAGATGGACACTCTGACCTTTGCAAACCTCCTGCAGAAAAGCCAGTGGCCCAGCCCTTTACTGGAGAGAAGTGTCCTCTTGAAAGTGCCTGATACTCCACGTGGATCTCTGGCCGGCTCTGCACACCCAGGACATCTAAGGATAAGCCTCACGGCAATGGTTAAATCTGTGTCCAGTTGGGGGAGGCTGTTGGCCCCAATTGTTTGTGCAACACCAGTCTAGATGTTACTATGAAGATATTTTAAACATCTGATAAACATTTAAATCAGCAGACTTTGAGTCAAACAAATTGCCCTCCATCGTATGGTTGGGCCTCGTCCAGTCAGTCGAAAGCCTTAAGTACAAAGAATGAGGTTTAACCTCAAGATGGGAGCATAGAAACCCTGCCTGAGTTTCCAGTCTTCAGACTCAAGACGGCAGCATCAACTCTTGCTGGAGCCAATTCCTTAAAATCTCCATCTCTGTCTCCGTATTACCAAATGTTGGTGATGGGAGGGCTCCTTGCAGATCCTGATGCCAGCCCCTCTCACAGACTAGCAGAATGAGGTGGGGAGGGATGGAAGCTCTGGAATCAGACCTCCTGCAGGAGGATCTAGTCTTGTCAACTTCTTGGCATTATAATAAATCTTTCTGCCTCAGTTTTTTCACCTCTGAAATAGGTATAATAGTGAGTTATGAGAAGGATTAAATGTATTTAACCTGAGTACTTAAATCACTGGTAGCTAGTTTCATCATTATCACAGAATTAAAAAAAAAAAAAAAAGCTGCCCCAAATGGTTGAAGTGTGTGGTCTGCCTCATATGGAGTGTCTGTGGGATAGCTGAGCCCCACGTTCTATATTTTGACTTCCCGTCTAGGAACTGCTGTACTGCTCCACGAGCCTGCTGTCACTGCCGGGAAGATGGTCCCAGAGCCTGCTGTGTGGGATTACTCTCCTCAGAGGTTTTCAGTGGCTCCCCACTGCTTCTCCAAATAAAATCCATACTTTTGGGCCTAGAACTTACTCAGCAAGTGTTTATTGCATAGGATCATGTACCAGGCTCTGGGCTGGGTGCCAGGGATATCCAGTGAAGCTCCTTCCCTATGGGGCTCACATTCTAGTGAGAGAAGATAGAAAGCAAAGGGATACATAATCTATATGAACGAATATGTAGAAAAACAGAACAGAATAAGGGGAAGGGTGGTCCGGACGAGTCTTCTAAAGAGGTGAGGTAAGATCTGAGCAGAAAGGAGTGAGCTGGGCAGATACCTGAGGGAAAGGCAAGGGCAGATACCTGAGGGAAAGGCAATCCAGCTGGAAGGAACAGCAGGTGCAAAGATCCTGAGGTTCCCGGGACCTTAATGGGCCCCAAAAAGGAATAGCGAGGAGCCCAGGATGAATGACTGGAGTAGAGTGAATAAGGAGAGAGGAGAGAACATGAGGATCTTTGGACCATTGTTAGGGCTTTGTCCGTGAGTGAGATGTGCAGCCAGGAGAAAGTTTATGCAGAAGTGCAATGTAATCTGCCTTATGTGCTTAAAGGATGACCCTTGTTGGTTGCTGTGTGGAGAATAACCTCTAAGGGGAAAGGGAAGAAACAGGGAGACCAGTTAGAACTCAGGTGAGACAGGCTGGTGTGGGTACAGGGGTAGTGGTGGAGGCACTAAATCATGTGGGTTATATTGCAAGTTTGTTGACAGAAAGGATGTGAAGAGGGAGACAGGAGAATAGGGTGACCTGTACGTTGAAGGCTGGAGAAGCGGGATAAATGGATTCGCCTCTTACTGAGTGGAGAAGCCTCAGAGGAGCAGGTTTGAAGAGGAAATCAAGACCTGGGTTAGGGACTTAGGTCAGGAAATATTTTAGACCTTCCAGTGGAGGCGCTGGGTGAGTAGTTGGACATTAAGAAGTTGAGAGGTTGGAGGTAAAGATAGAGATTTAGGAATCCTCTCTATGTTGAAATCCTTGGTACCAGAGGAGATCATGAAAGGAGTGTGTGTGGATACAGAGGAGAAGATGGCAGAGGGCTTCAGTGCTTAGCAGGGAGGAGACTGAGAAGGGGCAGCCAGAGAGGTGGGAGGGAAGCCAGGACAGAGCAGTGTCCCAGAGGCAAAGGAGGAGTGTGTCCCAGTGGAAGGGCTGGAGCTACCATGCAGTGGGTCAAGAATGAGAATAAGAATTGTGGATTGACTTTAACCATGTGGAAGTCATGGATGACTTCCATAAGGATCATTCATAAATCATGGAGGACCTCC